GTGTGTTTAAACGGTGGTACTTTGCCACGAACAGTAAACGCTGGGTCAAAGTGTTTCCTAAAAGGGAATGTGACCAAGTGCATGAACATGTACAGGTGGAATTAAAAGATTCAGGGTTCTATCCTGAAAAGCTAGGTCTAGAGCTTGTAAAGTGTGCTCAAAAGACACTAGGTGCCGCATCAGTCCAAGAGGGGGTGTGAAAATCGGAGCCTGCGGAGGTTGTGCAGCAAGGCGGTGGCAGTTCTGTTTTCCCCTGCTCTGCCCAACCTAAGCCCAAACCTAAGTGCAAGCCCAAAGCCAAGTCTAAGGACACCTCCAAACAGACCCGTTTGTCGTTTCGGTGAGCTTCTCGGGCTGTTTCGAGGGTTGGGCTAGGGTTTCCAAAAAAAAAAAAAGCAACCTCAAACATGTCTGGTGGAAGCTGGAGTGCGCTTGCTGGCTGCACCCGTGTCATCTGGCGGTCCACGACGGTCATGCGACTGATGGCTGCAACAACGCTCGCCATGGCTTTCATCTGATGTAGGCTACCTTTCCGCATGTTCAATTGCTGCCCTACAGGTCACATGCTCGGTGTGCGCTGTTGGCTGCACCCGCCTGTTATGCCTTAGGGTTATAGGTTTAGGCTAGTTCCGCCGGTGGTTGGGTTGTGATCGCATGCTTCCTTGCCTGGTTGATGAATATGCATTACCCGACTTCGGGCCTTAACAACAGAACATCTGGGAGTTTTGTAATGGCCTTTGGATAACATCTTGCCACATCATGGTGGCGAAGCCCAACAGCTCAGGCAAATCCAAACCTTCGCCAAAACAAGCCAAGTTGCCCTTTACGTGAGCATCGTGGTTGAGATGTGCCGCTTTTGCGCCTTGCTGGCTGCATTAGCGCTGCCTTCCACTTGAGCCTGCTAGGCGCTTGGTTTGCAATAAAAATGGGGGTATGTGTAACTCTTGTTACGTGGTCACGTGTATGTGGCCTTGGCCACTGCAGCTGCTGCCGTTGCTGGCACTGTCCTTGCATGCGATCCCATGGTGAGCAGCAGTCGGGTATCACCCGGTGGTTTGATGAATATGTGCACTTCTTCTTAAGGCCACCTCACTGCCTTCAGCTGCTACCTGTGCTGGGCACGGTTTTGGTTTTCTGGTCCGAAACTTGTCAAAAACTACGCTGGAAATTCACAGGTGATGGCGTGGGCACTTGGCGTGTTCATGCGATCACTTGTGGCGCTGTGTACAGTCGGCGGTAGTTTGTTAGGTGTAGAAAGTGTACAAAGGCTGCTGCTGCTGGTTTTCGTCGAACTCTCTTGCACAAGTTGCCATCCTGGCAACAACAGGGCCTTAAGCTGCACAGCTCTGCTTGTATGCAGGGCTACTTGACCTCTTCACACCAGTCTCGTGTTACACTGGTGCTGGCGTCCTTGTAAGGTTTGAAATTGCGAGGTGGCTTGCCGCGCATGCCCGTTGAATTTGTCGGCTCCCACCCGCCTGCTTCGTGGTCCAGCTAGCTCAAGCGTGCAACAGCAAGACCTAACAGGCTTGTTGGTCTGTTTTGGTGGCCTTGTGAAGCTTGCAAGGCTTGCTGTGCTCCCTGGATGCCCATGCTGGTCACCTCTGAGCTTTGGTGCATGGTCCAGCGCTGCTCTTACGCTCTTGTGTGCCACAGTCCCACCTTCTTTCCTTGGGAGAGCTGGTGGGACTCCCGTAGTGGTGCAGTCCCCGCTTGCGATGCGGATGTCGCGTAGTGTAGAGTTTTGTGCTGTTGATCTGTACAGTTTCTAGGTTCGTTTACGGAAGGCGGCCATCGGCCGCGGCATCTGCTGTCCGCACGGGAAGAAAATCGGAGCCTGGCTCAAGTTGCCGTGAGTGCTCAAACTGAGGTGCCGACGTGGCCAGCCTTGAGGCCTGCATTCTAGTGCTCTCGAACAGAACCCAAACGTAACCTCGTAGAGGTCGTAGGCCGGATTAGCCGGCGAGGGCTGGGCGGGAGCCGTAGTTTGTCAGGCGCTCTTTGCGCCATCTGCTTGAACACCGCTGCAACTTGAAACCTTGAAACATCTTGCTTGCACAGATCGTTTGATTTTCTTGGAAAAGTTTGTTTTGAGGGCCTTGCTTGCAAAAACGCCCTTTGTTGCCAAACTTTCTTGCGTACAGTTTTCTTGAAGGACGGCAGCAGACGCACAAGGACTGGTGCAAGTCAGTGCGGACATGTCGCGTTTCCGGCCGTATGTCGTGTGCAGGAAGTGCAAAGAGAGCTGGCTGTATGCTGATCGCATTTCAGCCCACCCGTGTTGTGCAGTTTGTGGTGCAGCGTGGCCTCGACAGGCAAAGCCTAAGGTTAGGTTTGTACAGAGCGGTGATGAGGCATCTGAGACCTCATTTAGGCCGCCCAGGCAGAGTAAGGAGCGAAAGCCCGGCAAGGCGGCACTCGCTTTGCACACAGTGTGGGAGAAGTTGACTCCCGAAGCCCGACTGGCGATCGAAGAAGCCGGGTGGAGGCCTCCATCCGCGGCAGCGGTTGTTCCGCCTCCGGGTCTCGGCGATTTTGATGTTGACATGGATGCATCTGAGGCCTGCGAGGCTAAGCAGAAGCTGTGGTCTGAAGCCACGGAGCAGCAGAAAGAGCTCATGCTCAAGGCAGGCCTCAAGCCGCCGGAGCAAACTCCGGCTCCCACCTCTTATGAAGTTGGAACCGCAGCAAATGCAGCTTTTCGTAAGGCCACGGTTGCACTGAAATTGCTTGGAGACAAGAAGATTAGCTTGCAGAAGCGTATCGACCAAGCTAAGGAGCAATACAACGCAAGACTGACCGAGATGAAACAGTTGCAGACCAAAATTGAAGAGGCGCAGCAACAGGTTGCAGATGCGGGCGAGGAGCTTACCACCAAAGTCCTGGCCCAAGATGAATCTTTGAACGGCGAAATTGCGCAGTTTCTTGAGAAGTTTGGGATTTCCTTGACTGAAGAGCAGGAAGCAAAGATTGCCGCAGTGCGTGCCGGCACACATGGACCCCCTGACAGCCAGGCTTTTGACCTTAAGGCCGCAGCACCCAACACGCAAGAGGTGCCCAAGAAATCTGAGCCAGCGCAGAACGGACAGCGTGGCACCAGATCCAGGTCGCCAAGAAAGACGCATGAGGCTGCCGCTGAGAAGGAGGATCTGTAGGATGCAGGTGAGGGTCTGGGTTCCGGGGATTTTAGGAGGATTCCGGGGTTCTCTTCCTGGGTAAGGGTTACGAGTTCCTTGGGAAGTGACTTGCATGTGCCGGAGGCTCCTGCTTTTCCTTGTTGGCCCCAGACCCGCACCGCTCCTCAGATTTTGCAAAACCAGCAGACCGCTGTCAACACAACATGTTCGCTCTGTGTTGCGCCCCTGGCGTCCTCACGAAGTGTGAGTTTCCACGTTGGGTCCAGCAGCATGTGCGTTTGTAATCCTTGCTTTCAGGTGGCGTCGGCTAGAAGCTGTGCTACTCCTCATTTTGCTGCGCACTCATTCTCGGCAGAGCCTTCGGTGGCGCAAGGTTGGGTTGCTAGGTCTTCGGTTCGAAATTCGGGCTTGAAAGAAGGGGCGATGCAGCTTGCATGTCAGGACTTGTGTTGTGCATGCTGCCATACGCCTATGTCAGTGCCCCCCTTTGCCCCTAGGCCTCCCGAGCCAGCTTTGTGCCAGCACTGCATGCCGAGTCAGAGTGAGAGTTTTCATTGTCGCCGTGGCTTTTTTCTTGAATCTTGTGCGCTTTCAGGCCAACCTGTGCCCAGGATCCTTGATTACAGAGTGCCGGCCAGGGTCTTCCGCCACAGGCCGCCCACTTTGCCACTGTGCTGGAGTGCTTGTGCTTCCGCCCGGAGGCATGAAGGCACCCTTGAGTCCAGGCCCATTTCTAGCCCGAACCCGTGTGCGCCTTCGGGAGTTTTCCTTAACCCCAATTTGGCCTTTGCGAGTGGATATGCATCGGAGCTTGAAGAGCTTGTGCAAGGGTGGCCTCCTTGTTTGAGTTGTGGCCAGAATGCAGTGCTTGGTCAGCAGGATTTTCCTTGGATTAGGAGTTTTCTTTCAGCCAGCAGCCAGGTCATGTTACACCGTCCATGTGAGGACCTTGCCACGGCTGTCAGTGATGTACTCTGCTACTGCCCAGGGTGTTTGTGTCGCTGGGCGGACCGCCCCACCAGCACCGAGGGCCAGCCTCACATATCCGCTGACTTGTCAGGTCCACGTTTCTTTCCTGCCAGTGCTGCTCAGGAGTGTGATGAACAGGGCGAGGTGTCTGGTTCGCAGGAGCTCGCAACTGTGAGGCCTACATGTATCAGAGCACTCTCGTATGGGCCTTCCACGAATCGGAAAGCCCCTGTATCCAGACGGGCCCGCCGGCGCCTCAACCGCCGATTGCGACACGTGCTTGAGGGTTCAGGGACTTTTTCTGATCCGATTTCTCACGGTGGTGATTTGCTTGACCCTTGTGCAGTTGCTTCGGTCCATGCAGAAGTGGTTGAAGTTGACGGCTACAGGTCGCAGGCTGGCCATGAATTTTCATTTCCGTTCCCTACCCCGTGTGTCTCCCAGTCTTGGGACCCTAGCCCCAATTTTGATTGCTGGGATGCTACTCCTGGGCATTGCGGCATCACTGGTGAATTGCACGGGCGGCCTGACCAGGACCAGCATCTTTTGGGTTGCGCGGCTGCCAATCTTGATGCCATGAGGGCCCCCAGGGCCCAGGAGGAGGGTGGTTGTTATAGTGGTGGTGGTTTCTTTCAGGAGGAGGTGTGCCCGCTGGGCGAGGGTCCTGGGGGTCGGAATTTTGGGATTGCTTCCCTTAATAGAGTTTCCCTCCAGGGTCCAGGAGGTGGGTATATCACACAGGCGGAGGATTGGCCCGCAGGAGGAGGTGCGGCCGCTGGCCGAGGACCCTGGAGGGAGCAATACATCCCGTTGTCTGAGAATTCCGGGTGTGGCCCGAACTTTCATGATGCTCCTGTTCCAGCGTGCCCTGAGGCTGGTGACCAAAGACATACGATGTCCCAACCAGGCGTTGCTGTGCGCCCGGCAGGCTGCACTCAGGCTGACCAGGTGCTTGTGCATTCAAATTGGTCGGGCAGTGCTCTCGCTCAGTCTGGTGATCCAGGGGTTTCGGCCCTTTGGGCCAGCTTGCTGCAAGGGCTGGAGCATATGTGTCATGTGCAAGTGCTTCAAGCTGTGGAGGCCCTAGAGGCGGGCCAATATATTCTTGAAGAAACCTTTCCCTGGTTTGCTGCTGAGCTTGCTGTTGAAGCCGGTGATGATGTTCCTTGGCCCGTTGCAGCCTCGGCTATCAGGGATGTCATAGCAAATCTTAACTCCAATGCCGACGGAAAGAAATTGCTGTTAGTCAGCTCCAATGTCACCAAGTGGCGCAAGTCCTTAGCAACCTTTCTTGCGGGGATCAGGCCAGACCTCTGGCTGGTACAGGAAACACACATTAAGGAGGAGCAAGGGGATTTGCTGGCCACTCATGTTGGGGCCTTTGGCTATCAGGCCTTCAGCTTGCCAGGTCACCCCACTGGGGGAGGTGGTAACTCAGGAGGCCTTGCGATTGTGTTTAAGAAGCACCTTGATGTCCGCAAAAGCCACCACTTCCTTCACCAAGGTGTTGGTTTTCAGTCTGTTGTTCTGCGCATCCGGGGTGTTGATATCTTCCTCGTCAATGTTTACTTGAAGACAGGGGAGGGTTTCCGGGGCCCGACTAATGCCATAATTCTTTCCAATTTGATTCCCTTCCTTAGGTCGCTGCAAGGTGAATTCCTTGTTGCAGGCGACTTCAACGAAGACATCAGTGTTCTGGTGACCACCAGTTTGGCGCAGGAAGCTCGGGGCCAATGGGTCCATACGGGGGCTTCCACGTGCACAGGGGGTGGTAACATTGATTTTGGTTTAGTTTCCAAAGGGCTGGCCTTGGGAGTTTCGGTCCGGGCTGACTGGATCACTCCGTTTGCTCCACATGCTGCCTTACATTGGTGCATTGACAGGAGGCAGTGCGAGTTGAGGTTTCCCCAGCTTGTGGGTTTCAAGCCGATGCCCATTATGCCGCAACCCTTTGAGCCTCCTTTGGCAGGTTGCTCTGGCCCTCAGCCTGATCTGGAGTCTGCCTGTGCCGGGCACTGGGGTGGCTCCATACCTGAGCCGGCCCTCACACATACCTTTGAGCAGCTCAGTAGCTCTGTTGAGTTATCGGTCTATGGCTGCACTCAAGGTCGAGGCTGCCTGCCCAAATTTCGCCGTGACAAACTCCTGCGCCATACCTCACCTGTGGGTGCTTGGGGGGGGGCTCAGGCCTCTTTCTGGAAGCGGGTCCTTGTTTGGCTGGAACTTTCGGTGAAGCGGAGTTGTCCTGCACCCTTTGGCCACACATTTTGGTCGCAGCTTGAATTGATGTGGCACGGATCCACAGCCGAGCTCAGTGTTTTCCAAGTCCAGCTCGATGCTGTTCTTAAAGGTGTTACGCCTTCGGCTTTTCCAGAGTTGATTCAGGTATCGGAGCAACAATTTCGTCACCATTCCAAATTGTGGATGCAGAAGCAGAGCGCAAGCTACGGTAAGTGGCTAAAGCAGGCTTCGTGTAAAGGCTTGCGTGGCCTTTTTACCAGTGTTAAAGCGGATGAAGCTGTCCAGCTGCGCCCTTTCTTGCACCAGCCTGTGCAGGAGCGCATCTACCTTAGGTGGAGGCAGTGGTTTGAGCTTTGGTCCGCGCCGGGTGGGGTCGACCCGGCGCTCCTCAGTGATCTCAGGCAACGTGCCCGAATGCAGGCCAAGGAGCTTGGGCCGATTCCCCTAGATCAGGCGGTTGCGGCGTTCAAGCGAGTGCCCAGCAAAGCACCAGGTCTAGACGGGTGGACATTTGAGATGTTAAAAAATTTGCAGCGACCGGCTGTTGCATCCATCATTTCATTTCTTCACCACTGTGAAACTGAGGCCACTTGGCCTGCCCAGATGGTGTTTGCACTTATAGCCCTCCTCCCAAAAAGCGAGAAGCGGGAGAGACCAATAGCACTTTTGCACGTGCTTTACCGCACTTGGGTGCGCATGAGGTGGAAATTGGTCTCCGATTGGCAATTCCAGTACTGTAAAGCCGCGGTCTGGGATAAGGCAATGCCTGGGAGTCAAGTGCTGGACGTCGCTTTGGGACGCTTACTTAGAGGCGAGGCGGCTAGACAGTCCGGTCAGCACTTAGTTACAATTTTCATTGATATGGAGACTTTCTATGATAGATGCCGTTTTAACGATGTCATTTCTTCTGGCCTTTCTTTGGGGTACCCTCCCCTGGTATTGCACCAGGCCCTTCTTACGTACATGGGCCCGCGTTTTCTTCAATCTGAAGGGTCTTTGTGCCCGGCCATTACTCCCACGAAGGGGGTCCTGGCTGGGTGCCCGGCCGCCCCTTCTATCAGCAAACTTGTTGTGCACCCCATTGCAGTTGCGGCCACTTCCAAGCGTGCGACATCCAATTTGGACGTATGGATAGATGATCTGTCCCTTGACTGTGTCGGTGCCTCGGCCAAGCAGATTGCCTCAGACGCTGTGCTGCTGTTTCGCAGCCTGCGTACCAGCATCGAGGCAACTGGTGCCAAGTTGTCATTGGATAAGACTTCATTTGTTGCATCGTCCTCTAAAGCGGCTAAATGCTTGCAGGCTGTCAGAGTTGACACAGACCCTGAAGTCCGCACCTTTGCCAGGGACTTAGGTGTCACATCGGGGGGTGCACGCCGCAGGGTTTTGGGTTTAGCTGAGATGAGGCGAGCTAAGGCCAGTGGCAGGGCGTCTAAACTGCGCAAGTTGGGCCTTGCCAACTTTTCACATAAAGTGCGCATTACCCGGGCCTCCATATGCTCTGCAGGTCTTTGGGGGCATCAGGCTGCAGGCGTCAGTCCTAAGCGGCGTAAGTGGTACAGGACTCTTTGTGCCAAGGCCATCGGCCGCCAAAAGTTAGGCTCGCTTGATGTCTCTTTCCTTTTGTTGCGTCACAAGTGTGAGGACCCGCACCTCACCATTTTGAAGCAGCATTTTCGAGCGGTTGCCAGGGTTTTCCGTCGTTGGCAGATCTCGGACCCGGAGAAATTCAGATCGACTTGGGCCAACATTTGGGCTTGGCTTTCAGAGTCGCCCCAACCTTGGAAGCGCGTCAATGGGCCCTTGGCGGCCACTTTGGCATACTTGATGGATTTAGGTGTGCAAGCGCCCCAGTCCCACCGTTGGACGTGCGGCGAGTGTCTCCTTATCATTGATTGGGCCAGTGTTGACGCCACCCGTCGGGTGTGGCATTGGCTTTTGCCTAAGTGGGAGGCCGCTAGGCTGCTTCGTATATCTCATCTGGAAGCCTGTGAATCCTTAGCCTCTGGAGTCGACTTGAAGGTCCCTCACCGCTTGCTTAAGCGCAAATTCTTCAATAAGAGTATGGCGACTAGTTTGCAAGCCCTTTGGCAAGGAGCACTTTTAGGTCAGAATAAGCCCGGGTACTGTAAACTGTGTGCCTGTCCTCTCAGCTTACAGCATGTTCTGTGGGACTGCCCTTTTCTTGTTTCTAAGTATCCTGAACCACCGCATTTCCCGGCCTCCCGCCGCAGTTTCCCGTGGCCATGTCTTTGGTTGCGCGGTTTGTTGCCACAGCGTGCCACGTCGCTGGGAGGTACGGATATGCAGAAGGGTTTGGTTTGTGAGGGTTTGTGGAGCAGCCGACGGGTCCTTAATAGTGATAATCTTGTTTTTGCTTCAGATGCGTCGGGTGGACCAGGTGCCCGTGACCACCGCGCGGCATGTGTTGCTTGGGCCATTGCGGCATATGAGCTTGCACCGGATGGGCCGAAGCGTGTTGCTAGCATCACGTGCTTTCCTGAAGAGCCCCTGTCGGTGGCCAGTGCGGAACAACAGGCTGCCTTTGAGCTCTTTGGTCGTGTCTCCGGTGCTTTCGACTTGACGGTGGACTGTCAGGCAATCACACACATTCTACGGAAAAACATGCCGCCCCTTGAAGGCCCGGTCCCTTGGGGTGAAATTTGGGGTGACAGGTCAAGGGCTAATATCACTTGGGTGCCCAGTCATAAAGACTCTTCCTATTATGCTGAAAAAGGCATCCCTGAATGGCGGCGTTTGCTGAACGAGGATGTTGATTCTTTATGTGGCAAAAGGGCTGCGCAAGTGTTCCAATCAGCGACTAAGCCGAATCTTCCTGTTCTTGATGGGCTCTGCGAAGAAATTTGCCTGCACCTGGCTAAGAAAATTGGCTTTGTCCTCAAGCACAAAAAAGATAAGGGTTTCCCTTGGGTTTTTGATAGGTGCCTCAACTCCCTGCCTTCGCCCCAGGATGCTAAGCCCTCGATCTTTTCTCAGGGCAAGTTTGGTAAGCCCAAAGGCGGGTCCAAGCCCAGCAGTCAGCCCAAACCCAACAAAAAACAACGCCTTAAGGAGGCTCTCGCCAACCCGGACCCTGGGCTGGGTCATGTTTGGAAGGATTGTGAGGCCAAAGCCAGCAACAATTTTGCGATCCAGTGCACCGTTTGCCAGCTTTATGTGGAGCAGTGTAACCCTCCCGAGGTTTTTGATCGCAAAATGTCCAATCCTTGTCGCGACAGAGCTGCCCCGGTTCCCGCCTGCTGGGGCATACATGGCAGTCATGACATGGTTAATAAGGGTTCTTTCTTTATGTGCTCCAAGTGTCTTGCCATGGTTAAACTTGGTGCCACCTCGTCGTCGTCGGTCATGAAGTCCACTTGCAAAGGGCTCGGGCGTAAACTTAACGCCCAAACGAGAGTGCGTTCCATGGCCCAGGTTGAAGCTGATACGAGCCGGTCCATTGAGGAATCCTTTGAGGCCAAAGAGTCCATCCCTGCGGAGGTTGTGCAGCAAGGCTGTGGCAGTTCTGTTTTCCCCTGCTCTGCCCAACCTAAGCCCAAACCTAAGTGCAAGCCCAAAGCCAAGTCTAAGGACACCTCCAAACAGACCCGTTTGTCGTTTCGGTGAGCTTCTCGGGCTGTTTCGAGGGTTGGGCTAGGGTTTCCAAAAAAAAAAAAGCAACCTCAAACATGTCTGGTGGAAGCTGGAGTGCGCTTGCTGGCTGCACCCGTGTCATTGGCGGTCCACGATGGTCATGCGACTGATGGCTGCAACAACGCTCGCCATGGCTTTCATCTGATGTAGGCTACCTTTCCGCATGCTCAATTGCTGCCCTACAGGTCACATGCTCGGTGTGCGCTGTTGGCTGCACCCGCCTGTTATGCCTTAGGGTTATAGGTTTAGGCTAGTCCCGCCGGTGGTTGGGTTGTGATCGCATGCTTCCTTGCCTGGTTGATGAATATGCATTACCCGACTTCGGGCCTTAGCAACAGAACAACTGTGATGTTTTGTAATGGCCGTTGGATAACATCTTGCCACATCATGGTGGCGAAGCCCAACAGCTCAGGCAAATCCAAACCTACGCCAAAACAAGCCAAGTTGCCCTTTACGTGAGCATCGTGGTTGAGATGTGCCGCTTTTGCGCCTTGCTGGCTGCATTAGCGCTGCCTTCCACTTGAGCCTGCTAGGCGCTTGGTTTGCAATAAAAATAGGTGTATGTGTAACTCTTGTTACGTGGTCACGTGTATGTGGCCTTGGCCACTGCAGCTGCTGCCGTTGCTGGCACTGTCCTTGCATGCGATCCCATGGTGAGCAGCAGTCAGGTATCACCCGGTGGTTTGATGAATATGTGCACTTCTTCCTAAGGCCACCTCTCTGCCTACAGCTGCTACCTGTGCTGGGCACGGTTTTGGTTTTCTGGTCCGAAACTTGTCAAAAACTACGCTGGAAACTCACAGGTGATGGCGTGGGCACTTGGCGTGTTCATGCGATCACTTGTGGCGCTGTGTACAGTCGGCGGTAGTTTGTTAGGTGTAAAAAGTGTACAAAGGCTGCTGCTGCTGGTTTTCGGCGAACTCTCTTGCACAAGTTGCCATTCTGGCAACACCAGGGCCTTAAGCTGCACAGCTCTGCTTGTATGCAGGGCTCCTTGACCTCTTGCACACCAGTCTTGTTACACTGGTGCTGGCGTCCTTGTAAGGATTGTAATTGCGAGGTGGCTTGCCGTGCATGCCCGTTGAATTTGTCGGCTCCCACCCGCCTGCTTCGTGGTCCAGCTAGCTCAAGCGTGCAACAGCAAGACCTAACAGGCTTGTTTGTCTGTTTTGGTGGCCTTGTTAAGCTTACAAGGCTTGCTGTGCTCCCTGGATGCCCATGCTGGTCACCTCTGAGCTTTGGTGCATGGTCCAGCGCTGCTCTTACGCTCTTGTGTGCCACAGTCCCACCTTCTTTCCTAGGGAGAGCTGGTGGGACTCCCGTAGTGGTGCAGTCCCCGCTTGCGATGCGGATGTTGCGTAGTGTAGAGTGTTGTGCTGTTGATCTGTACAGTTTCTAGGTTCGTTGTTGGAAGGCGGCCATCGGCCGCGGCATCTGCTGTCCGCACGGGAAGAAGAAAATCGGAGCCAACGTAGTCTGGCTCAAGTTGCCGTGAGTGCTCAAACTGAGGTGCCGACGTGGCCAGCCTTGAGGCCTGCATTCTAGTGCTCTCGAACAGAACCCAAACGTAACCTCGTAGAGGTCGTAGGCCGGATTAGCCGGCGAGGGCTGGGCGGGAGCCGTAGTTTGTCAGGCGCTCTTTGCGCCATCTGCTTGAACACCGCTGCAACTTGAAACCTTGAAACATCTTGCTTGCACAGATCGTTTGATTTTCTTGGAAAAGTTTGTTTTGAGGGCCTTGCTTGCAAAAACGCCCTTTGTTGCCAAACTTTCTTGCGTACAGTTTTCTTGAAGGACGGCAGCAGACGCACAAGGACTGGTGCAAGTCAGTGCGGACATGTCGCGCTTCCGGCCGTATGTCGTGTGCAGGAAGTGCAAAGAGAGCTGGCTGTATGCTGATCGCATTTCAGCCCACCCGTGTTGTGCAGTTTGTGGTGCAGCGTGGCCTCGACAGGCAAAGCCTAAGGTTAGGTTTGTACAGAGCGGTGATGAGGCATCTGAGACCTCATTTAGGCCGCCCAGGCAGAGTAAGGAGCGAAAGCCCGGCAAGGCGGCACTCGCTTTGCACACAGTGTGGGAGAAGTTGACTCCCGAAGCCCGACTGGCGATCGAAGAAGCCGGGTGGAGGCCTCCATCCGCGGCAGCGGTTGTTCCGCCTCCGGGTCTCGGCGATTTTGATGTTGACATGGATGCATCTGAGGCCTGCGAGGCTAAGCAGAAGCTGTGGTCTGAAGCCACGGAGCAGCAGAAAGAGCTCATGCTCAAGGCAGGCCTCAAGCCGCCGGAGCAAACTCCGGCTCCCACCTCTTATGAAGTTGGAACCGCAGCAAATGCAGCTTTTCGTAAGGCCACGGTTGCACTGAAATTGCTTGGAGACAAGAAGATTAGCTTGCAGAAGCGTATCGACCAAGCTAAGGAGCAATACAACGCAAGACTGACCGAGATGAAACAGTTGCAGACCAAAATTGAAGAGGCGCAGCAACAGGTTGCAGATGCGGGCGAGGAGCTTACCACCAAAGTCCTGGCCCAAGATGAATCTTTGAACGGCGAAATTGCGCAGTTTCTTGAGAAGTTTGGGATTTCCTTGACTGAAGAGCAGGAAGCAAAGATTGCCGCAGTGCGTGCCGGCACACATGGACCCGCTGACAGCCAGGCTTTTGACCTTAAGGCCGCAGCACCCAACACGCAAGAGGTGCCCAAGAAATCTGAGCCAGCGCAGAACGGACAGCGTGGCACCAGATCCAGGTCGCCAAGAAAGACGCATGAGGCTGCCGCTGAGAAGGAGGATCTGTAGGATGCAGGTGAGGGTCTGGGTTCCGGGGATTTTAGGAGGATTCCGGGGTTCTCTTCCTGGGTTAGGGTTACGAGTTCCTTGGGAAGTGACTTGCATGTGCCTGAGGCTCCTGCTTTTCCTTGTTGGCCCCAGACCCGCACCGCTCCTCAGATTTTGCAAAACCAGCAGACCGCTGTCAACACAACATGTTCGCTCTGTGTTGCGCCCCTGGCGTCCTCACGAAGTGTGAGTTTCCACGTTGGGTCCAGCAGCATGTGCGTTTGTAATCCTTGCTTTCAGGTGGCGTCGGCTAGAAGCTGTGCTACTCCTCATTTTGCTGCGCACTCATTCTCGGCAGAGCCTTCGGTTGCGCAAGGTTGGGTTGCTAGGTCTTCGGTTCGAAATTCGGGCTTGAAAGAAGGGGCGATGCAGCTTGCATGTCAGGACTTGTGTTGTGCATGCTGCCATACGCCTATGTCAGTGCCCCCCTTTGTCCCTAGGCCTCCCGAGCCAGCTTTGTGCCAGCACTGCATGCCGAGTCAGAGTGAGAGTTTTCATTGTCGCCGTGGCTTTTTTCTTGAATCTTGTGCGCTTTCAGGCCAACCTGTGCCCAGGATCCTTGATTACAGAGTGCCGGCCAGGGTCTTCCGCCACAGGCCGTCCACTTTGCCACTGTGCTGGAGTGCTTGTGCTTCCGCCCGGAGGCATGAAGGCACCCTTGAGTCCAGGCCCATTTCTAGCCCGAACCCGTGTGCGCCTTCGGGAGTTTTCCTTAACCCCAATTTGGCCTTTGCGAGTGGATATGCATCGGAGCTTGAAGAGCTTGTGCAAGGGTGGCCTCCTTGTTTGAGTTGTGGCCAGAATGCAGTGCTTGGTCAGCAGGATTTTCCTTGGATTAGGAGTTTTCTTTCAGCCAGCAGCCAGGTCATGTTACACCGTCCATGTGAGGACCTTGCCACGGCTGTCAGTGATGTACTCTGCTACTGCCCAGGGTGTTTGTGTCGCTGGGCGGACCGCCCCACCAGCACCGAGGGCCAGCCTCACATATCCGCTGACTTGTCAGGTCCACGTTTCTTTCCTGCCAGTGCTGCTCAGGAGTGTGATGAACAGGGCGAGGTGTCTGGTTCGCAGGAGCTCGCAACTGTGAGGCCTACATGTATCAGAGCACTCTCGTATGGGCCTTCCACGAATCGGAAAGCCCCTGTATCCAGACGGGCCCGCCGGCGCCTCAACCGCCGATTGCGACACGTGCTTGAGGGTTCAGGGACTTTTTCTGATCCGATTTCTCACGGTGGTGATTTGCTTGACCCTTGTGCAGTTGCTTCGGTCCATGCAGAAGTGGTTGAAGTTGACGGCTACAGGTCGCAGGCTGGCCATGAATTTTCTTTTCCGTTCCCTACCCCGTGTGTCTCCCAGTCTTGGGACCCTAGCCCCAATTTTGATTGCTGGGATGCTACTCCTGGGCATTGCGGCATCACTGGTGAATTGCACGGGCGGCCTGACCAGGACCAGCATCTTTTGGGTTGCGCGGCTGCCAATCTTGATGCCATGAGGGCCCCCAGGGCCCAGGAGGAGGGTGGTTGTTATTGTGGTGGTGGTTTCTTTCAGGAGGAGGTGTGCCCGCTGGGCGAGGGTCCTGGGGGTCGGAATTTTGGGATTGCTTCCCTTAATAGAGTTTCCCTCCAGGGTCCAGGAGGTGGGTATATCACACAGGCGGAGGATTGGCCCGCAGGAGGAGGTGCGGCCGCTGGCCGAGGACCCTGGAGGGAGCAATACATCCCGTTGTCTGTGAATTCCGGGTGTGGCCCGAACTTTCATGATGATCCGGTTCCAGCGTGCCCTGAGGCTGGTGACCCAAGACATACGATGTCCCAACCAGGCGTTGCTGTGCGCCCTGCAGGCTGCACTCAGGCTGACCAGGTGCTTGTGCATTCAACTTGGTCGGGCAGTGCTCTCGCTCAGTCTGGTGATCCAGGGGTTTCGGCCCTTTGGGCCAGCTTGCTGCAAGGGCTGGAGCATATGTGTCATGTGCAAGTGCTTCAAGCTGTGGAGGCCCTAGAGGCGGGCCAATATATTCTTGAAGATACCTTTCCCTGGTTTGCTGCTGAGCTTGCTGTTGAAGCCGGTGATGATGTTCCTTGGCACGTTGCAGCCTCGGCTATCAGGGATGTCATCGCAAATCTTGAATCCAATGCCGACGGAAAGAAATTGCTGTTAGTCAGCTCCAATGTCACCAAGTGGCGCAAGTCCTTAGCAACCTTTCTTGCGGGGATCAGGCCAGACCTCTGGCTGGTACAGGAAACACACATTAAGGAGGAGCAAGGGGATTTGCTGGCCACTCATGTTGGGGCCTTTGGCTATCAGGCCTTCAGCTTGCCAGGTCACCCCACTGGGGGAGGTGGTAACTCAGGAGGCCTTGCGATTGTGTTTAAGAAGCACCTTGATGTCCGTAAAAGCCACCACTTCCTTCACCAAGGTGTTGGTTTTCAGTCTGTTGTTCTGCGCATCCGGGGTGTTGATATCTTCCTCGTCAATGTTTACTTGAAGACAGGGGAGGGTTTCCGGGGCCCGACTAATGCCATAATTCTTTCCAATTTGATTCCCTTCCTTAGGTCGCTGCAAGGTGAATTTCTTGTTGCAGGCGACTTCAACGAAGACATCAGTGTTCTGGTGACCACCAGTTTGGCGCAGGAAGCTCGGGGCCAATGGGTCCACACGGGGGCTTCCACGTGCACAGGGGGTGGTAACATTGATTTTGGTTTAGTTTCCAAAGGGCTGGCCTTGGGAGTTTCGGTCCGGGCTGACTGGATCACTCCGTTTGCTCCACATGCTGCCTTACATTGGTGCATTGACAGGAGGCAGTGCGAGTTGAGGTTTCCCCAGCTTGTGGGTTTCAAGCCGATGCCCATTATGCCGCAACCCTTTGAGCCTCCTTTGGCAGGTTGCTCTGGCCCTCAGCCTGATCTGGAGTCTGCCTGTGCCGGGCACTGGGGTGGCTCCATACCTGAGCCGGCCCTCACACATACCTTTGAGCAGCTCAGTAGCTCTGTTGAGTTATCGGTCTATGGCTGCACTCAAGGTCGAGGCTGCCTGCCCAAATTTCGCCGTGACAAACTCCTGCGCCATACCTCACCTGTGGGTGCTTGGGGGGGGGCTCAGGCCTCTTTCTGGAAGCGGGTCCTTGTTTGGCTGGAACTTTCGGTGAAGCGGAGTTGTCCTGCACCCTTTGGCCACACATTTTGGTCGCAGCTTGAATTGATGTGGCACGGATCCACAGCCGAGCTCAGTGTTTTCCAAGTCCAGCTCGATGCTGTTCTTAAAGGTGTTACGCCTTCGGCTTTTCCAGAGTTGATTCAGGTATCGGAGCAACAATTTCGTCACCATTCCAAATTGTGGATGCAGAAGCAGAGCGCAAGCTACGGTAAGTGGCTAAAGCAGGCTTCGTGTAAAGGCTTGCGTGGCCTTTTTACCAGTGTTAAAGCGGATGAAGCTGTCCAGCTGCGCCCTTTCTTGCACCAGCCTGTGCAGGAGCGCATCTACCTTAGGTGGAGGCAGTGGTTTGAGCTTTGGTCCGCGCCGGGTGGGGTCGACCCGGCGCTCCTCAGTGATCTCAGGCAACGTGCCCGAATGCAGGCCAAGGAGCTTGGGCCGATTCCCCTAGATCAGGCGGTTGCGGCGTTCAAGCGTGTGCCCAGCAAAGCACCAGGTCTAGACGGGTGGACATTTGAGATGTTAAACAATTTGCAGCGACCGGCTGTTGCATCCATCATTTCATTTCTTCACCACTGTGAAACTGAGGCCACTTGGCCTGCCCAGATGGTGTTTGCACTTATAGCCCTCCTCCCAAAAAGCGAGAAGCGGGAGAGACCAATAGCACTTTTGCACGTGCTTTACCGCACTTGGGTGCGCATGAGGTGGAAATTGGTCTCCGATTGGCAATTCCAGTACTGTAAAGCCGCGGTCTGGGATAAGGCAATGCCTGGGAGTCAAGTGCTTGACGTCGCTTTGGGACGCTTACTTAGAGGCGAGGCGGCTAGACAGTCCGGTCAGCACTTAGTTACAATTTTCATTGATATGGAGACTTTCTATGATAGATGCCGTTTTAACGATGTCATTTCTTCTGGCCTTTCTTTGGGGTACCCTCCCCTGGTATTGCACCAGGCCCTTCTTACGTACATGGGCCCGCGTTTTCTTCAATCTGAAGGGTCTTTGTGCCCGGCCATTACTCCCACGAAGGGGGTCCTGGCTGGGTGCCCGGCCGCCCCTTCTATCAGCAAACTTGTTGTGCACCCCATTGCAGTTGCGGCCACTTCCAAGCGTGCGACATCCAATTTGGACGTATGGATAGATGATCTGTCCCTTGACTGTGTCGGTGCCTCGGCCAAGCAGATTGCCTCAGACGCTGTGCTGCTGTTTCGAAGCCTGCGTACCAGCATCGAGGCAAATGGTGCCAAGTTGTCCTTGGATAAGACTTCATTTGTTGCATCGTCCTCTAAAGCGGCTAAATGCTTGCAGGCTGTTAGAGTTGACACAGACCCTGAAGTCCGCACCTTTGCCAGGGACTTAGGTGTCACATCGGGGGGTGCACGCCGCAGGGTTTTGGGTTTAGCTGAGATGAGGCGAGCTAAGGCCAGTGGCAGGGCGTCTAAACTGCGCAAGTTGGGCCTTGCCAACTTTTCACATAAGGTGCGCATTACCCGGGCCTCCATATGCTCTGCAGGTCTTTGGGGGCATCAGGCTGCAGGTGTCAGTCCTAAGCGGCGCAAGTGGTACAGGACTCTTTGTGCAAAGGCCATCGGCCGCCAAAAGTTAGGCTCGCTTGATGTCTCTTTCCTTTTGTTGCGTCACAAGTGTGAGGACCCGCACCTCACCATTTTGAAGCAGCATTTTCGATCGGTTGCCAGGGTTTTCCGTCGTTGGCAGATCTCGGACCCGGAGAAATTCAGATCGACTTGGGCCAACATTTGGGCTTGGCTTTCAGAGTCGCCCCAACCTTGGAAGCGCGTCAATGGGCCCTTGGCGGCCACTTTTGCATACTTGATGGATTTAGGTGTGCAAGCGCCCCAGTCCCACCGTTGGACGTGCGGCGAGTGTCTCCTTATCATTGATTGGGCCAGTGTTGACGCCACCCGTCGGGTGTGGCATTGGCTTTTGCCTAAGTGGGAGGCCGCTAGGCTGCTTCGTATATCTCATCTGGAAGCCTGTGAATCCTTAGCCTCTGGAGTCGACTTGAAGGTCCCTCACCGCTTGCTTAAGCGCAAATTCTTCAATAAGAGTATGGCGACTAGTTTGCAAGCCCTTTGGCAAGGAGCACTTTTAGGTCAGAATAAGCCCGGGTACTGTAAACTGTGTGCCTGTCCTCTCAGCTTACAGCATGTTCTGTGGGACTGCCCTTTTCTTGTTTCTAAGTATCCTGAACCACCGCATTTCCCGGCCTCC